AATTACTTTCAAACCTAAGGCGCAACCAAAAACTATTTATTTTGAACACGGTGCTATGCATCAAAGTGGAATCGAAATGTATTTTCTGGTGCTCTAGAATATCAGCTTTCTTTTCTTGTATCATAAATTCGCTACAAACCTTTTTTCCTGTCACAAACAAAGATTTTACTAAAAGTAAAAAAGAGAGGGAAAAGTTTGATTTCTTCGCCTTGGCACAGAAAACGAAAGGGGGCTATTCGACTTTCTCTGTTCGGATGAAACAGAAAAACCATTTTATTTCGACATAAATCAGATCTAAAGTCATAATATGTGATTCGGACCAAATCACACAAATTTGCCTAAGTGTCACAAAACTGCGATTAAAAAATGATGATTTGGTGCAAAATCCCTAAAAGAAAAAAACCCTCCTGCGATCGCTTGAGCCTATGAAGAGTCTTAAATATAGAGCTTTTCGAGATCTACAAAATGGCCATTTTCTCTTTTTTCAGATCGCAAAAAATAAGTGACTGACATTGGAAAATCTGTTTTTTCGGTTTGAAAGTAATCGATATTGAAGCTTTCCCGTATTTCCTTTATATTTTTTTATTCTTAGAGTATATGAGAAAATGTTCAATACGTTTTGTGTAGAGAACTGAATGATGCTTCTTTTAAAAAAGATTGAGACTTGGCGATCAACCTTGACTCAGATATTGAGAAAATACTGAATGAGATAGGACTTCTGGGCCAACCTTTATGTAATTTTTAATACTTATTTTTGATTAGAGCATACAGAAGTTTGCAAAGTCCATTGGACTATTTACTCAATCTAATGGACTCGGACTGGACTGGACTAGACTTTTTAGTTTTGCGAACTGGACTGGACTTAAGACTGGACTCAAAAATTTGAGTCCATACGGAACTCTGATTTCTATCCGACCCAGAGATGTATAATTGATGATCACCGGTAAGATACAGCTAGATAGCTTTGCGTAACCAAACTGGACAGAAGAAGTACAAAAGGACAAGTTACAAATGCTAGTACTAGCAGAAGGCTGAAGATCCTAAGCAATAAATAAAGAGCAGTTTGCTGCGCGTGAGTTTTATTAAACTCCTAAGAACTTACTATTGGGCAGCCTGTCATCTGTGGTTTGTCGTTTACGATCAATTATATTGATCCATTGATAAAACACTCGCTCTGATTTGTACAATTTGTTTACCCATTGCTCACTATATACCAGATTCATAAAGGTGTGGATTCATATAGTGTGGAAGATAAGTGAAAGAATTTGCCTCTCGAAGTCTAGCAAAACGTTTTTTTCATACAAATAACGCCTAAAGGTGTTGCCAAACAGAATTTTTGTTAGACTTCGAGTGACACATCTCTAAACGCGGTTTTGGTCGGTGAGCACGAATATGACGTTGGTTTTGGATCAAAAGTGTTTTTTATGAGTTGGGTGCCGTTGGTCGAACAGACAATTAGTCGAATGCCGAAAAACTTTTCGTCGAACAGCGTGTTGGTCGAAAAAACGTTTTGTCGAATACTGTTTGCCGAACAGCATTTCATCGAAAGCTAAATTTGCCGAATCGGCAAATTATCTTTCGACGAATTTGTTTTCTACAAATTGTCGTTTTGACGAATTTGCGTTCTGTGTAGGCAGTGTATCACTATTACGTAGACTTTTGTAGAAGATAAGAGTAGAGTACCGTTGCGTTGCAAGTATAACAATTATCAGCATAATTGCGTTGTAACTATACTTACGATGCAAGTCAACTCCTGTTGAAATTTCAGCTATGAGTTAAAACTTCTGAAATTTTCATTTTATCAGCTTTCTAGTATTACTCCCTTTTTCACTAACACAACAAGAAAAAGCGAGAAAATGTCAATGTCAGTTTTGTTTAGTAATAGAACCGATATATCGCGGTGTACCAAGAGATTCTGACGAAGGTTCAGATATATTTGACGTTGCCATTCTAGTTCTAGTACACAAACGGTACTGCTGAACCGAATGAAGATACGTGAAAAAAACAACAACGATAGTATCTTCGAAGAGTTGAATAATCGGGAAGTTTATGAGAATGTTTATTACACAGGAAAATTACTTGTTTCTATATACCCGAGGTCCACGAGTTGACTTACATCGTAAGTATAGTTACAACGCAAATATGCTAATAATTGCTATACTTGCAACGCAACTATACTCTACTCTTATCTTCTACAAAAGTCTACATAATAGTGATACACTGCCCACTCAGAACGCAAATTCGTCGAAACGACAATTTGTCGATTCGGCAAATTTATCGTTCGATGAAATACTTCTTGACAAAAGGTTTTTTCGACCAACACGCTGTTCGACGAAAAGTTTTTCGACATTCGACAATAGTCTTTCGACCAACGGCTACTCTCCCTTTTTATGGAGTGGAAAGCCGGTTTTAATGTTCCGAAACCCGTTTCTTCCTGTGAACTTAAAAAGTTTAAATTTCTCTTTTAATACCCGTATACAGTAACTAAGTGCTAACGCAAAGATATACAAAAAATGTTTACCCACCCGTGCGGAAAAGATATTTCAAAAATAGCCCTAAGATTCAAAACATTAAAAGATGTGTCAAATTCTTTCACTTATCTTCCACAGTATCTTCCTGTTGATACAACAGCTTTAGACACAGCTGTAAATAAAGTACCAACCAGAAATAGTGCAGCGGCAACATCGACTGTCGCACAAACAGTGGTCACAGCTACGTCCACTTGATCGGGCTGCTCTGCCGCATGTCAAAACAGCATCGGTCACAGAAAACGGCATGCCAATGAGTGGTATGTACGACAGCTTACGTATTACATTAGCTGATTTATTTTTAAAACAATGTTAGCATATGTTACACTGTCCTACATTGCTGAAGTTGCAGCTATTGCATGTCCGTATTGGTCCAAAATCCCGATATTTATTTCAGCTTTTTATGGTTACCACATGAAAGATAAATACCTCTTCGAAGAAAACGTTGTTCTCCGGTGGATGTGTAACAGTTATTAGCTAAATATCATACCAAGATCTATAGCAAATCCTTAAGTAAATCGAAATCCTGATCGTTTAACGTAAAGAAGAGAAACGGGGCAGCCATTGCATACTTTGTTGGTGTTACCTGGAACGACAAGCTATCATCGAGTTTGGTGATGACTTATGTTCACATTTTGCATAACCGTACACTTCGCCGTCTTCGATGCTCACCGCCATAGCAAGAAGGTTTTGTCGAGTCAGGTCAGATTTGCACACAACGTTTTACACTACAGACCGAAATGTAGATAAAAGTTTAAATTTTGTATTACTCTTTGGTCTGAAAGTAAGTGATAATAAAAATAGTATAGCAGACGAACTAATCAAGAAAAACTTTCTAAACAGATTTTGAAAATTATAGCAGCCGAATAAAATGAAAGAACTTTTTTCATCCAAAATATGAATATGGTTCACGACTCACTCGACAATGATTCCACATTCTAAAAATTCAATCAATCAGGGGCTATGCGCGTGATGTGACCCTCACTGGGGGGCACATTTCAAATTCTTAACATGTTGACAACCAACTTAATCCGACTGCCTGTCATACTGTGGTACTTCATACAAGTATGCTAGGGAAACAAGGACTAAGTGGTTCGCACGAATAATCATTCGTCTCTTTTCACCTATACAATAACTCATCTTTTTAGAAAATAATGAAAATAAATGTCGTCTGATATGAAATAAATCACCATAAACTGGATAAAAATTCTTTATTCAATGTTTTTTATGAGTTTGTTTATAGTACTCGATTGTTTGAGTTAGTAGGTCACGGCATTCAGTTTTGGTCAGTACTCTTATTATTGCCGCGAATTATAGCCTCTTTTTACAGTTGGCTCAGTTAATTAGTGCGAAAAAAACAGTGTGGACGAGTAAGCACGGTTTGATTGATAAAAAAAAGTAAAATGGAAAACCAAAAGATTTTGAATCAAAGGGTATAAGCCGACCGTTTTTACGTCTTTAGAACTTAATCTTCTGTAGTTTTTGAATCCTGCGGTATTCCCTAGGACCAGCTGCATAAGTTGGTCATAGAGTGAATACTACGGTACATGGTTTCAGCACCCTGTGAACCTCAGCAATAGACCACGGGAGAATAGATAAACACTAAATATGCACTTAAATCGTTTTTGACGGATGCCTACAGCTATTTTTTCTCTTTTGACAAGCTTTGTGGATAGAGCATGACAAATTGTACCTATCATGTAAAACAGTTTATAAAAAATAATGGTCAAGAAAGCGTTCGAACGCATTCCTGATAAGATGAACGCTGTCCCTCTCAACACAAACTAGTTGTCATTGAGAGCGTTTCTAACAGATAAGAACCCATTCTTAGGAATGCGTTCAATAGGGATCGCGTTCTTTTAAGAACGCGTCTGAACAGTTCAAAAGAGGTAGGTATAGGGCATTTTCCGTTTGTTAATGATATATGTCTCTTATAAAACGATACTAACTTTCCAACCAGAATAAATAACGAGAGGAAAGTATCGTGTAAGAGACGAGTGTTTTTCATGTTCTACTGACAGATAAAATATGGGAAATATATCAAAAACAAGTCATGGGTTTTCTTTGTGATGAGAACAAATAATTCTTCGATGGTATCTGACAGAAAAAAATAGTATGATGTGCTCTACTAATGTCGTCATTGGTATTCAGTTAAAGAAAACGTTATTGCGAAAGAGCATTAATAAACACTAATAGTTGGTGAAACAAAACCTTTTCTCTCCATCAACGACATGAATAGATGGTATGTTTATATATTTCCCATATTTTATCTGTCAGTAGAACATAAAAAACACTCGTCTCTTACACGATACTTTCCTCTTTTTACTTATTCTGGTTGGAAAAGTTAGTATGTCCTTATGAGAGAAAACCATGTATTCTATAAGCCTAGTAGTTTTCTTTGTCCTCCATATTTCCACAATTGACGGTGATAATAATCTATTCACCACTGCGTTTTGGGAAGCAGATAGTTGCATGCATCCAATAACTACAGCAACAACAACAAAAGGTCAGGGAATAACATTAGAAATTGTACAAGCACATCACTCTGTGCCATTTCACCTATTATTAACAAATAAAAGGAAGTTTGGGCATAAGAAAAATCAATATTGGATTATGCTATCTATTGATGATGAAAAGCTTACTCTCCAAAAGCTTGTTAACGGTCGTCAAACATTATTAAAGGAAAGTATGGCCCGTGATAGTATTTTACAAATAGTACAACCAAGTCGATACAAGTATTGGCTCAGCATAGATTTTAAGAATTTCTTGGTAAAATATGGTCAAGGTGAAATGAGAAATGAATGTACATTGTTTAGTGTTCATATGAGGGATAATGATGACAAACAATATTTAACGAAATTAAAATTTTCATATTCAAAGTTCCTATTTGATAAAGATGAAGATGAAAGTGGTGAAGAACTTAATTTATGTCATCAAATATATAAGCGTCCTGTGGAAGGTAACTCACCGATACTTGTTTCCACAGAAGAAATGATAGATGATCAACAAGCGACTGATTCTAATAAAATCATGATAGCAGTTGAAGATTTGGATAAACCAAATCAACGATTGTATAAAACTGTTGTGGGTTTTAAACTATCTAATCCGAAGCATCCACATTTCACGATTGCTGCGATTGAAAGCAGTTGTCGTGAACCACCTGGATGGTGTTATACGACATTACAGACAAAAGCTAATGCTCTTACAAGAGGAGTAAATTCAACATCTATTCGAATTAGGATCGGAAATTTGACATTTTTGGAAATTTGGCCACCAAATCATAAATCGACAGTCATTCAACATTCATTCAACACACACGGTATTATACGTATTCTTTCTAATCCAGTTATGATCGAATTTCATCCGTATATCAGCGCCAATCCGCAGCAGAAACCCTTTTTAGCACGATTATGTGAAGAAAATGAAGTGCTATACTTTAAACCAGGTCTAAATCAAATTTATCGATTTTTTAATCCAAGAAATACGCTGGCTATCATTATACAAACCTTTGATACGGTAGCATTTGAATACATAGGCAGTGATCGAAAGCAAATTAAACGGCAGTCTGAAGTGTCAACTGATATTGAATATGAGAAATTTATTAAATTAATCGAAAAAGATTGTAAAGGCAGCTATTAAATCTGGCTTGTAGGAAAAATATTTTTTATTATTATGTGTTGTTTTAGATTTTGCAGCAGTGACGGCTACAACTAGTTCCGCTACCACCACCTCCATCACGACCAGAACAGTTTCTCAACTAATAACGGCTAGTACTCAGAGTTCATCCTCCACAACAACAGCGCCGGGTGAGCTAGATTGCGATGCTGCACGCATTGGAATAATTCTGAAAAGGATCGTCTTAGCTCGAATTTGAGATAGTAATAGGCTCTTGACATTCCCAGCTGATGACTAGTTGGCGATATTGTGTTGATATATTACGCTGACCACGAATATGAGCTTTAGAATGCAAAAAAATAATAATTTGAAGAAAATCAATTTTTACTGTTGGTACTACACGGCTCTAGCATACCCTCACTATCAGAATACTGTTTAAAATTCTAGAAACACATTAGGGATGTGTAAAGATGTTTGCTCTTTCAGAATTTGTGCTCAATAGGTTTCTAACGTTTTGCAGAAATAGCCAGAAAATCAAAAAAGGACCAAAAACAACAACAAATTTTGTGTTTATCTAAGTATTTTGCTACTGTATTCTAAGAAAATCTGGAAACAATGTGAAATATCACATTACACATGATAAAATATTCATAAAAAGGAGCAGCCAAGAATTCGTTCTTGAAAAAATTGAACGCGTCTTGGAGATGCTTTTAGCGTTCTTTTAAAACGCGTTTCTTTTCCAAAAGAAAACGGGTTCCTGTCTGGAATACGTTCAGAAAAAAATCGTCTTAAACAACAAAAATCCTTTCCAAAAGAACGCTAAAGTCATTCGAAAAATATGCCAACAAGGGTCAATAATCAGAATACTTGGCCGATGTCATAATTTTCGTCTATCTTAGTGCTTTGAACACATCCTTAGCCATTTCTCTGCTGTAATAAAAAATTGTATGTTTTTCAAAAGCATACCATGTGATAGCTCTTTAAATTCTCTACAAAGTGAGCTAGTCAGAATATCTAGATAGTTGAGAGCAGTCATTAGCAATATCGAAGAGAAGCGTTTTGGTGTTATCTATGCAGTACAGTGTGTCAGAATCACAAGAACTCCTTTGTTTTTTATTTTTCGGTAAAAGTTGGAACCAATCTGAATACTGTTCTGGATAGCCCAAAGCTTTTTCTATCAGATGAGGTGCATATTGCCGTTTCATGAGAAAAGTTGATAATAGGGTTTCTGGAAAACCTTACCGTCAGAAACCAAGCCCTTGATTTTTTGGTCAGAAAATTTTGCAAACTATATGACCTGATAGAGCAAACAATTCTGAGGCAAATAAGGCATCTCCAGGCTGTCTATAAGGCTTTGTGACAGGAATGTTGTGGTATTTTTCACGCCCTCTTTAGCCGTTCGTAAATCGACTGCACTGGCATGACAAAGGCTTATAGACAGCCTGAAGATGTCTTATTTGCCTCAGAATAGTTTGCTCTATCAGGTCATATAGTTTGCAAAAT